CCCCCCCCCACAAAAAACCCCCACCATATCAATAGAATAAAGGACAAAACCACATGATCATCTCAATAGATGAAGAAAAAGCACCTGACAAAATGCAACAATCCTTCATGATAAGAACAACACTCAACAGACCAGAAATAAAAGGAAACTTCCTCAACCTGATAAAGGGCATCTATGAAAAGCCCACAATTCACAGTTAACATCATACGTAGTGGTAAAGGCCGAAAGCTTTTTCCCCAAGAACAGAAACAAGGCAAGGATGCTTGCTCTCCCCACTTCTATTCAACATTGTACTGGAGATTCTGGCTGGAGTAATTAGGCAATAAAAAGAAAGAAGAGGTATCCAGATTGGAAAGGAAGAAGCAAAACTATTCACTGATTAGATGATTTTATATATAGAAAATTCCAAGGAGTCCACTAAAAAGGTATTAGAATAAACAAGTTCAGCAAGGTGGCAGGATACAAGATCAACACACAAAAATCAATTGTATTTCTATATGCCAGCAACAATTCAAAGATGAAGGTAAGAGTTACCTCAAGTGTTCCTTCTTCCGGGCAGTCTCCCATAACCTCTAGGGAGTCCTATGTCCCTCCCGTCGGGCTAGCACAGCCTTCCCTCCACCCTACACTGACCATACTAGGCTATCATTGTCCCCCATCCTCTCCAGTTCAGGTCCAGCCTGGAGGCGGCAACCAGGGAGCCCAAAAGAAGGATGGAACGTTCACCCCCTGGGTGGTGGGAATGGTGGCTTGCCTGAAAGGCATAGGAAGCTGAAATGGAGCCCCCACTCTGGTGTATTACACCCTCTCCAAGCTGTGAGGAGACCTGCCATGTGTGTCAAAGTGAGAGGAGCTTCTGTGAGCACAGATGGAGCCACCACCTCCTTCTGGCTCCATACCTGGGTAAGGTTCAGCAGGAGGAGTTGAGGTAGTTTACAGCCCTACCTATTTCAGCTCAGTGGCCAGGAAGGGGGAGGCCTATGAGAGGGGCTCATTCCCACCTGACTGCCATCCCACTGTGGGTAGGATGAAGGCTCTTAGGAGGCCACTGACCGACCTTGGGTGGGGAGGGCAGATGGTGACAAGGCCAGGTTGT